AAAAAATTTTAAAAAAAAAAAAAAAAAAAAAATATATATATATATATATATATATATATATATATATATATAACTTTTCCACTCTAAAGTACTTTTTTAGTATGGAAAGTTTCTATGGATGTCGAAGATTCTTCAAAAGAAAGTTACAATTTATTCTTTTCTCCCTACATCTTTGGTTACTCAGTTTTTTTCCCCAGTGAAGACTTCACTTCCTTTGTTTGTTTCTGTTCAGTGAACATAAACCTGAGTCCTGGATATTTTCCCTTTACAAGGCCTCCTCCACTCGCTCCTTCTCCTGCTTGGTTGTGCGTGTAACAAAATTTAGCCCAGGCAATATATCCAACAGCTGAACGGAGGGGAGAGAAGCTGCCAAGGAGAATTCCAGCACTGTGAGTGAGAAGCGCAGCACAGCACCTTCAGCAGAACAAGACTGATGGAGTGTGCAGAGCCTGTCTGACCTACAACCACACTGCCAATGATGATACAAACAGGTACAAAAACAGCTTCCTTCGCCATTACAGATTTACAGTTTCTTTCTGATTTGGAGCTTTTTGAAAGCACTAACTTTTTGTTAATAAAAACAGGTCTCTCCATGTTCAGATGTGAGATCTGCCTTCATTTTCTTAGTCCCAACGTCAAGGTCAAAGCCATGCTGTTGTGTTTGCATCTGGCCTGTTTTCCACAGACATGGAAAAATCTTTTGGATTGTAGTGAAGTGTTGCATGCGCCAACAGTGCTCATTCTAACCCATAAACTGAGTTAGATATAGAACAAAAAATATTAGAGACAGCCTCCTTTTTTATTACTTAGAAAACATTAGATACATCCATTTCCCATTTGTCTGTGATGAGGGTGAATTTATTGAAGCCAAAAGCATGTCTGTAAGCAAATACATCTTTAACTTCACTATCAGTGTTCAAACTGATAGTTTTGGGAAATGTTATTGTATGTGATGACACATTAGTACAGATAATATACTACAAGTAATTAATGCTTACAGTTAATGAGACATTTTTTAGACTCTTCAGCTAAAACTACGTTTCCTCTCTTTCCTCTCCCCTCTCTCTTTCCTCAGAGATCTCTGTTTGTATTTCTGGCTCGGACTCTCTGAATAGCCCACTCAGATTAGAACCAGCTGGATCTTCTGACTTCCACACAGCAGCACAGCTCTGGGACAAAAGACACCCTGTAAAGCCCCGCCCACAGGAGGAGCTAAATACTGCAGGGGGCGGAGACATCAAAAACCCTGACCCCATCATCCGTGATTTGCTGTGTTTAGCCAGTTACTATGCTAAGATAGTTAAAATGATGATGGCACAATTGTAAACAGCTGAATCCTTTGAGCTGCTTGTTTCACTCAGCTACCACGTGCATCATCTCTTTCAATGCATTGTTACAGACCTTTTCTAGAGCAAAAATTGAAGGAATGAGACTAGTTAAGATACTTGAAACCATCAGACCAAACCTGCCGATTGCTTTCCCAGTAAAAAAAATACCTTTAAAAAAAATCTTTAAATGACTCTCTCCTTGCATTCCTGCTTAAATTAAAAAAAAAATTAATTAGATTTTATTTTAATATTTTCTGTTTTCACCTTAATTTTATTTAATGTTTTAGTCATTTTATTGTGTGCAGTTTTTTTAACATGTCTATACAGTTTTTTTTTATTATTTAGTTATTTTTATTTTGTTTATAGAGTTATTTTACTTCAAGTTAAACTAAACAAAAATGACATGTTGCTTTGACAACAAGCTGAAATAGAATGGTTAATTTTTTGTATATATATATAAATATTATTATTATTATTTTTTTTTTTATCGTTTTTTTTATTTCAGTTAACATTTATCTTAAAGGGATAGTTCACCCAAAAATGAAAATTTGATGTTTATCTGCTTACCGCACGTACACACCTCACGCACCGGATGCCGTGCGCGCGCTCAAAGACAGTTGGACATAGTGGTGTATTAGAGGTAAAAATGTATATAAATACTGTTCGGTTTCTGGCACAAACCGATCGTTTCGTGTCTTAGGACATCAATGTGTCGTCACGAGCTGCAGGGTTTAATTTGGATTTGTCTGTGCATGTTTTTTTTACTCTCATAGATTTTGTTACCCTTGCCATGCATTATACGACTGCTAGACTGCAACGGTTAAAGATAAAAATCATCATATGTGTTCTACTGAAGAAACAAAGTCACCTACATCTTGGATGCCCTGGGTGTAAGCAGATAAACATCACATTTTCATTTTTGGGTGAACTATCCCTTTAAGTAAGATTTTTTAATGGTTTTAGTTAACTATAATAACCCTGACCTGAACCATTCAGTTTTGTGTTTTTCTTGTCATAATACAAATGCTCCCGTTTAGTTTTGCATTCTACAACTGTATATGATTCACTACACGACTGCATTTCTGTGTACTGTGATAGAGGCTCTCTCATGCAGTTGTAATCATCCATGAAATGCGGTGTGATTACTGGGTCCATTTCACGCATCTGACTCCATCTATATGTTTTGGTTCTCTGAAGTGCTTTTGGTCGCTGTTCAAACAAAACGCTCTTCCTCTGCATCTTACACAAGTTCATTTCTGTTTATTCTGGCCTGTTTGAAAATGTGCAATCCAAGTCCTGAAACATTTTCATAACTCTTAGTTGGAAGACAGGAGGAGTACTTTATTGTATTATCAGGCTTTTAATGATATTTGTATAAAAGATGAATGTAGTTACAGAGTTTTGAACTTCATTATGTCTGTAGCATTTCACTTTCAGCCCTGACAAACGTACCTTAATGAAAACTGTGTTTTTAATGAACATGACTTTCCTAAAACATACTTTTTAAGGCTTTAGTCCTTTGATATACTTCATTGCCGGACGAACTCAGGCTTACAGGAGCAGAGCGGTTATTTAGACCCAGTGAATCACAGTGAGGGCATTCATATCCTCCTCCTCGTCCCAAATTCACACGTCCATCAGAGCTCGTGTTATGCCAACCAATCTGTAAGGGAATCCCAGGGGAAATGTCCACTTAAACCAGGAAGACTGAGGTTTCCCACAGTTCCTTTGAGTCCTGCTAGTGCACAAATATCCATGGGGATCAAACATGGGTTAGAAGAGTACAGGTGGGAGGTCTGGTTGAAAAAGCTTTAGCGAATCAAACACACCAGGTAATGTGTTGAATGTTGATGCTACCATTACAAAGTTTTACAAATCTGGAGTGAAAAGTGACATGCTTTTTAAAGCTCTTTTGTCCGTTTTTTTCATTGCATCGAGATTTTTACCTGGGTTGAATAGAGTGCTGCAGGGATGACATATTTTTGTAGGCCAAAACCCCAAAACAAGCATTTTAGCACTTCTGGGTCCATCGTCCTGAAGTCAATGGGTTTTTTTTGTTAAATGCCTGAAATAAGGTAACACAATCTCAAGGATGATGTTAACTTATGGGTTGGCCTAAAAATACATCATCACTGCAGCACTCTATATTGTTTTTGTTTTAGGTAAAAAAAAAGAAAAGACATTAAATATTTTCTCTGATTTTATTATTTTTTTTTTTTAAGTGTCTTATATGGCAATAGGTGCTTAATGTTATAGTTTGAAATATATGAATATATATATTTATAATGTCTTCTATATTTATAAACAATTTTTTCTATGTAATTCATTGGCTGTGCAGTTCTCCCTCCTAACAGCTTCATCACTGCTGCTTCTGCTTTGCCAGTTTTGCTGCCTCCTTCGCTTTCTTCCACTTGAGTTTTTTCTTGATCAACAAGAGGTCGATGTACACAGGGTAGTTTAGGACGGTGGAGGCGCAGAGGAGACCACCATGCAACGCACCGGCGATACCGCAGCTAAAAATGTCCTGGCCTGAAATACACCGAAAAACCCCAAACATGCTAAAATGCTCTCATGTTTAAAATGGAATTTAAAATATATATTAATTAAAAAATATTAATATAGTAAGAATTGATGTGTGTGTGTGTGTGTATATAATGTATATTTACATTGTATTTATATAATATAACAACTGCATGTTAACTTTAACAGCTCTAAAATATATATTAAATATTTTACTTTTGTCATATATAATAATTAGTTTTATATATAAAACACACACACACACACACACACACACACATACCATTAACAGCCCTTAAAATACAGCTAATCAGTCATTTTTTTCATTAACGCTTTACAATAAGTTAACATTAATTAACAATGAGCAATACATTTGTGACAGTATTAAATAACATTTGTAACCAAGTTAATAACAATACAACTGTTCATTATTAGTTCATGTTAACTAATCTAGTAATCTAATGTTAACAAATGAAACGTTTTTCTAAAGTGTTACCTTTTTTCTATCAGATGTTTTTGAGGCCCCTCTTTAATCTAGGCCCCAGTATGAAAACCGTATTACAGTAGGAAGAGCTCTGTACCTGACAAATAAAGGTTTTTGACGGGAGTGTCACATCGGTTTCGAGCCATGGCCTCCGCGTAGAAGCGGTCCAGGTTGTGATCAGCAGAGTAAATGGCCCCTCGGTTACAGCTGAGGTAGTGCATGTTTGTCAGAGGAGTGGCGGCCTCCTGAAACACCAGCTGAATCACACACACACACACACACACACACACACTCATCAGTCTGAATGCAGAATCCACTCACTTTCTCACTAATGACACTGCAGATTTATGCCCATCCAAGTGCACGAAGTACTGATAACTTGATATAAATATCTAGAAAACAAAGCTGAATCTACAGTTCTGCTCAAATCAACATAAAATCAAACGAAATCTGAAAATTCAGCTTTGCCACTACAGTGACATCAAAATTGACAGTAAAGACATTTATAATGTTTCAAAATATTTCTATTTCAAATAAATGCTGTTCTTTTGAATTTTCAGGAATAGACCATGAAATGGAAAGTTGTAACTGTAATATTATTTCATCAAATATTTTTGATCAAATAATGCAGCCTTGTTAAGCATAAGAGACCAATTAAATTAAAGATTTTTATAGATGATTTATGCTTGTGCATCATTATTTTATAATGTAATTCATGTGCCCTTGTAATCCTTAATAGATTCCCGATTCCCAATGTCCCAAATCAAGTCCTGCCCTATTGTTTTTCCTCATTTAATCTATTTCACTCAGATCACTCTCATTTTAGTATCAATAATATAGTGTTATATTTTATGTTAATATTTTGAATTAGATTTTTGTTTGATTTTGATGTTTTTTATATTTATTGTAATGTTTATTTTATTTCAAGTAATGAAACGTTTTTTATTGTTTTAGCTTTAGTTAATGATAATAACCCTGGCTCAGATATACATCACAATAAAAAAGAAAAGACCATCGCAATTTGTGTGCAGCAGACTTGTGTGCAGTATTCAAGAGGGTCAGGGTTTGACAGAATTCTCACAATTTTATTTCAAATGTAAAAATCATAATATATCATTTTTTTTGCAAGGCTCTTTATGACTGTACGTTGGTGCCATTGCAGTAGACATCAATTTTTATAGTTCAGATGATTTGCTAACGGACCTGCTTGGCAAGTCACTGAACGGGGCTGTGGGTGGTTCATGAGCATGAGGTAGATTTTAACACGCGACCTTGTAATTGTATTGCAGATAATTCAGTCATCATTGTCTTGGTGTTTAGTGAATCAGTGTTTAGTCTCTTTAGTCAACCTATGAATGACTAACTTGACTTACGCGCCTCTGCACATTGTACAGGCACAGGACAAAAGCATTTTAACATTAAAAAGGTACCTTTATCACTATTTTTTCATGCTCATATAACACATTTCAAATTTGCAGCAGAGTTTAGTACCTTGTCTCTGAGTTTTGGGAAGTGTTTGCAGGCCCCTTCAAAGAGATAGTTGGCAAATCTCATCTTGTAGTTGAAATAATCGTCGCCTCTTTTTCTCACTCTAGTATCTTTCCACTCTTCAAACCATTCATAATTCACCATGGTCAATATGGTCATACATGACTTGCCTGGAAAATTAGTTTGTTGTTAACATATGACATTATTAACAGCAAAACTTGTCTCTTGCTTTAAATTTGAAGCTATAGAAAGAACAAACGCAACCTTTAAAAATGCACTTTTCTACTGTACATCAGACCCATATAGACAATTAAATGAATACTTTTATTCAGCAAGGATGCATGTATGATGTTACAATTATAATGTTTCTATTTTAAATAAATGCTGTTCTTTTGAACGCTCGATTCCGTAAAGAATCTTTCAAATCAAAATGTATAACAGTTTCAACAAAAATATGAAGCAGCACAACTGTTTTCAACATTGATAATAATCAGAAATGTTTCTTGAGCAGCAAATCAGCATATTAGAATGATTTCTGAAGGATCATGTGACACTGAAGACTGGAGTAATGATGCTGAATATTCAGCTTTGATCACAGCAATAAATTACATGTTACAATATAGAAAACAGTTCTTTTGAATTGTAATAATATTTCACAATTCTACAGTTTTTATTGTATTTTTGATCAAATAAATGCAGCCTTGAGAGACTTTTAAGTGGTGGTGTACAGTGAATCTTGCAGTGACAATGCTAAATAGAGAGCTGCTGTCTAAAAAGTCATTGAGATTGGCCAGATGATCATGTTACCTGGGTGCCGGATCTGTGATGTGGGATCTTTGGCTGAGGGGAAGGTGATGAGCATCATGGGAATGTTCTCTGGTGCCTCGTCTTTACTCATACTGAAGAACTCATCCATCCTACAAGTGAAAGCTCACTTTTCATTAACTGCAGTCACACATGATGTACTTTATGCACTCATATTACATGCTAATAGGCTGATGATACATGGGGCAACTTTTGGAGCAATGTTGCCGCCAGGTGAGACACAGGGCCCATGAACAATCTAAAGTATCCAGATGGAAATTTGTTACCCATTCTTAAAATGGGAAAGTGCCCAAGCAACATTGCTCAAAAAAAGTTGCCCGGTAAAATTGCTCAAAAAGTTGCCCCGTGTATCATCAGCCGTACAGGGAAGTTTGGAACGGCCTGGAAATATGTTTTCCAACAGACAGGAAGATAAGAATTGCTTCTTGGACTGAAAGCAGAAAGCCTGTCCAGACAGAAGTATGGCAGCAGGCCGAGAGAGAGAGAGATCCTCCTGAGACTGCATGCTTTAGGCAGCAGCACTGCCTAGTGTTTGATTCATGCTGCTGCAAATGATTCACTTATTTTGCATTTATTGTTTGACTCATTTAAGACATATCATTTTGGTTTAGTGCAAATTATGCTATTGTGTTAGTTTACTACATGCATTATGATTGTTGTTGTTTTTCTTCCCTTGTGAAAAAAAAGAAGTGTGCTTAATTGTATTGAAGAATTGTTGTGTACTTCAATTCTTAAAAGTATATTTAAAAAGAAAAACTCTAGTTGCAGACAATATAATTTTAATGAAATAAAAGGCCACTGAAGTTTACTTAAAGATAGTACACTTTCATGATTGTTTCTGTAATAGGTGCACTTTGTAATTAAACATTTTACTTTAAAGTACACATAAAATCATTATGTTGTAACAATGTTTTGTCATGCTTTAAAGAAGTACACTTATTTTGATGCGTTGACTAACATACTAAAGCACTCGTGATGTCTTAGATTCTATTTTTAACTGTAATGAGTTCTTTGATATTACATTTAAAATTAATATATGTTAGATATACTAAATTGCAACTTCATCATTATAAAGTCTAATTACAAATATATTTGAATACATACAAGTTTCAATAGAAATGACATTAAAGAATGTTTAGTTTACCATAAAGGCTTAAAATGCATAAATATCAGTACATTCGGCAGATCACATTAAACATATTTCAAAGACAATCAAAGTATTTATGAAATTACATATAAATATGTACTAAAAAACTTAAGTCTTAAATTCAGCTAATTGCATTTAATGTCAATTTAAACCATAACACATTTTAATTTATTAGCAAACAACATGCAGTTAAGTGTAGAAAAACATTATATTCTTTTAAGGTAATATTATTTCCATAATAAATGCTCTTTTTAAAAGTATGCTAAAGTGTACTTCTTTTTTGGAAATTTTGGTTTAGAGCAAAAATTATGTAATTGTTTTAGTTAGGAGTAGTGATTACTTACATGATCTTACTAAATGTATAGTACTGAATATTTTATTTCATGATAAATAGGTTATGCATCTTGTCTTTGCACTTTTTTTTTAAATGATAGATTCTACATTTTAAATGCAAAAGTATAATATTGCTAAAGTAGTATTGTAATGTATATTTTTTGATACTGACATGGCATCCATGTCGTTGGATTTGAAGAGCCAGATGCTGGTGGGCACGATGTCTAACTCTTCCTGCGTCGCATCAAACCCCGAGAACAGGAGGAACGAGGCTTTACCGGGCCTCATCATATCCAGACGACTCAGAACATCTGAAAGTTATGAAAAGAGTCCATGTAGTCTATCAAGAGCAGCTACACATTACAATAAGATTCATTGCAGCACATAGATTATGTTCACCTGGTTTGACTTGTATTTCTGGAGGTAAGAGCTTCTGGAAGGTGTTGAAGATCCCACAGTTGGAGATGATGACAGGAGCCCGAATCTCCACATGCTCATCACCTTTCTTCACTGTCACTCCTGTCAGTCAAACCACAGGGCAGGTAGATCGATAAACACTCATTTGGAAGAAAATGGATTTATTTATGGATTATTGAAGTTTTAATTGGTATAGCTGACTACTTTTGACTCACCATAAGCAGCTTCCTTCTTATCAACCAGGATCCGACTGACAGGAGCTCGGACCAGCACACTGCCCCCATATTTCTGTATGACTTTAGTGATGTGGAACGGGATCTCACTGGCGCCCCCTTTAGGGTAATATGCACCACGCTTGAAATGGTGCAGCATCAGAGCATTGATCATACAGCTGGAATCTTTAGGAGGCACACCTGGAGAAAAGAGCAAAGACTTCTCTAGGCCTTTTATGTTATGTTTGACCCGAGTCAGAAATACTGGTTAACCTACGTTTTTCCAGACTTTTTCTGATTTAGGTTCATGGCCATGCATAGAAAGTCTCAACAATGATGTGTTGGGTGGTGCTTGGGGAGGTGGAGGGTTTTAAAGTAGTACCCAATATATTTGAACCTAATATAAGTCAGGTCTCAGGTTTGATCTGTCTCTCCTCCTCTTCTCCTGCCTGGAATCTTACCTCTGCCTGCACTTGTGGACTGTTCCTAGTCGTGTAAAGTGGTTGCCAGCTTGGATTCTGTCATCAGTCTGTTCCTGTCTATACGAGTTGTTTACACCTGTGTGGTGTGGTCACCTGTCTGGACTCTGATATTCTGCTACTACTCAATTAATTTATTTGAATCGCATTTCTGCATTTGAGTCCTTTATCGCAGAGAACCCTGACAATTTTTAAAAATGTACTGTGAAGGTGGAACAATTGGATGAAGTGATAAACACATTAAATGTGGTTTTCTATATATCTACAGTCTATATGTGTATATATGGGTAATTCTATTATACTGTAGTATAATTCATATTTACATTTTTATTTTTATTTAATTTCTATATGTTTTATACAGTTATGTTGTGTGTAAAAGTTATTACATTTTTTTGCCTATATATAAATATACCTATATAGTTTTTTCCCCCCTTTGTTTGTTATTTAATACAACGTTAAGCTAAATGAAAAGGAGAAATTTTGCCTTGGCAGTTAGCTGAAAAATAAATACATTTAATTTTTTTTTAGAAATGAAATAATTTAATTTTCATTTCATCATATGGTGCTTTCATGGAATGATTCATGTACAGAAAGTCTCACCGTAGAAGAAATATGAGAAGATCACGTGCAAATCCTTGTTGCTTGTCAGTCTGTTGTTCATCTCAGTGGCATTGAAGCCTGAGAGACGAAAGATGGATGAGCAGAGGTCAGCGATGCCACTTTTGAGCAGAAACAGAGCCAACCACTGGGGAATCAGTTTTAGGATGGCCAAATAATGAATCTTCCTGGCTGTGACCTGTGGACAAAAAAATGGTCAACTTAGTATCATATGCATGTCTTAAAAAAAGATGATAAACCTTATCATCATGAATGTTAATTAGATGACAATTATGTCCAACTGACAGGCAAGTGAGCACATTAGCATTGGGCATTCTTTCAGTCCACTCACTGCAAATGTAACACTGGCACTGGTTTAGTTTAAAAGCATGAAATGATGGATGTGCATGCTTTACCTTCATGGTCTTAGAGAACTCCTCCACAGCTTTGACATCATCTGGAAAGATCTTCTTAAGGTTCTGCTCCATCTCAGTCTTGCCACTCAAGATGGCGTAGTCTCTCCGTTTCTCTCCGTCGCCAATCACAATGCTGTCAAAATGCTGCGGTAGCTCCACAAACTCCAGCTGACCCTCAGTGATTTGATCCATAGCGACCTTAAGCAGACCGTTTTCATGCAGCTGACCGAAGTAGTGAAGTCCTTTTGACATGCAAAATAAAATAAACTTGACTGAAGGACCTTCAGTAGATATGCTGTTGAGACATCATGATTTAATTCACAGACATTGCCTTTAACTAACAAGAAAGTAAAAATCCCAACTGGAAGTACAAGTGTGATTTCAACTTTAGTAACACAGATTGGTTTAATTTCCATATTCCTGCTGAAGAAATACACTACACATAATTCTCAAGATCTGTCCACCAATCTGAGAAGTCGCTGATATTCTCAAACAACTTATTTGTATGGTACAAATACGTTATTTTTGAGTAACAGCAACAAATTGTAGGCCTACTGTATTTTCCGGAAAGGTCGCACAGGGTCAAAATTACATTGTTGAGAGAAAATCACAGATAAGTTGCATTGGCGTATAAGTGACATTTTATTATCACTTTCAGAAATAATGTAAAATACCAATAAATAAAACGAAACGTTTACAAGAGCCTAAAGGAATAGTTCACCCAAAAATGAAAATGTACTGTAGATGAGTTTGTTTCTTCATCATATTTGTATAAATGTAGCATTCCATCACTTGCTCACCAGTGGATGCTCTGCAGTGATAGGGTGCCGTCAGAATGAAAGTCCAAACAACTGATAAAAACATCACAATAATCCACAAGTAATTCATACAACTTTATGACAATGTCTTGTAAAGTGAAAATCTGTGTGTCTGTATGAAACAAATCCACCATTAAGATGTTTATTTTTATTTTTTATTTTAAACCATTAAAATACAGCTAATATATAATTCCTCTATCCAAAATATTGCTTTGTCCAGAGAGAAATCTTGTCTGAAACAGGAGAGAAATATGCACAGATCAAATACTGTTTAGAAGCCAAAACAGATCTAAACAAATCTGTTGGTGGAATTTGATGTGAGAGGGGACTTTTTCGCTGGAGGAAGCGTCATTATGGATTTGTTTCTTAAAAACACGCAACCTTTGGCTTCACAAATCTAACTGATGGACTGGAGTGGTGTGGATTGCTTGTGGATTATTGTGATGTTTTTATCAGCTGTTTGGACGGCATTTCTGACGGCACCCATTCACTGCAGAGGATCCATTGGTGAACAAGTCATACTACATTTCTCCAAATCTGTTCTCAATTAGAAACAAACTCATCTACATCTTGGATGGCCCGAGGGTGGGTAAAGTTTCATTAAATTTTCATTTTTGGGTGAATTATTATTTATTTATTTTTCCACACTGTAAAAAAAAAAACTGTGACATTTACAGTAAAATGCCGGCAGCTGTGGTTGCCAGAGCTTCATCGTAAAAAATATGGTAGCAACATTTTAGGTTTTACAGACTTAACTTAAATTCACAATAAAATACCGTATTTCATTAACTGATGTAATGTTAATAAACCAACATAATGAAGTGTTAATATCTGTTTTGAACCATTGTAATGCACTGATATCCATCTAAAACTGGTGGTGATGAGAAAGTCACACGATGAACCAAAGCTCATCACAAACAGCTTTTCTACAAGCTGCGGAGGGCAATACTTTTATATAGAAGGTGTACAGTCTCATTCACACTAACACTAAACCCCATCATGGTGACACACATGATACTGAAATAATGCAATAAACATTCATTTAACAACATTAGATGTAAGATTAAACCCTGATGTACACAACTGATAAGAAAAAACACGTTATTTCAACAACAAAAACATCAAATATGAAGCGTCATGCAGGGAATTCTGGGAGTGTCAATTTACGTTTTTTTCACTGTAAATTATACAATGACTTTTTCTTTTTCACTTCCAAAAACTTATTTTTAACAGTATTTTACTGTAAAATGACATTAAATTTTATTACATTAATTCACAGAATATAGTATGGAAACTTACTCTTAACCAGTTAACAGGTTTTTACTGTAGCATTTAAAAAATAAAAAAGTGCACTCTTTTACTGTTAAAATCACAATCATTTTTTACAGTGCACATATGAAAAATAACCATGCTCTATTGTAAGGGATGGTACATACCCACATCAAACTCAAAACCCTTCTCAGTGAAAGTGTGACAGCAGCCTCCGGCCACGTCGTGCTGCTCCAGCACCAGGACTCTCTTCCCCGCTTTGGCCATTGTGGCTGCAGCCGTCATTCCTCCGATCCCACTGCCTATTACAATTGCATCAAGATTCTTTGGAATCTTCTCCTTGGTAAATCCTAGAAATACATACAGTAATACATTATATGCATATAGGCTATTGTACTCAGTAGTGTCAGGGAAAAAGCAAAAATACCTACTTCAAACAGTGTTCATGCAATCTTATGTAACATTTTACTGCAGAAACACAGTGGCTGATATGGGAAGTGAATAGTCCATTCCTGATCCGGGTTAACTCCCAGCATTCAGTGCTCAAAGTGGGTGAAACGGATGGTTGGTATATTACGAAAAGGCCTGATAAGGAGTTAGTAAGGCCACAAGATATCACCAAGTACACTATTATCTTTATAAGCCCTAAAACACTTCAAATAAGAGGTTTGTCTGTGATGTACAAGTGTTATCACAGTCAGCTAATCTAATTAAGATATCGGCATAGCCATTGACACACGTTAATTGTTTTACAATAGCATTGACAAGACTTTACATAATTAGATTAGCTTAAACAGTCTACATGTTCTGTTTCGGTGCATATTATGGGAAATGGCTATTACTTCTTTTCAAGGTAATGAGACGCACTGTATGTAATATGTATAAAAGAGACTTCTAATTGAATTTGAAGAAATTCTGTCACCATTTCCTAACTCAAGCTAATCGAAACACTTCTGTTGAACACATATAAAAACACACACTAAATAAATAGTAATGCATGAATCATATAGATCACATTTATTTGTCCTTTTAGAGCTTGATAGCCCTCATTCAGTTAATCTTAAAAGTATATTTTTAAAAGACTAATCTAATACTGATGAAACAAAAGGCCACTTAAGTGTACTTAAAGTATACTTTCATGGCTACATTACTTAACACACTTAAGTACACTTCTAAAAAGTTAAAGTACATTTGAAATTCTTCTGAATTTAATTGTAAATAACATGCAGTAAAGTGTCTGAAAACATTACCTTGAAGTATATTATTTCTGGAATAAGTACACGTTTTGCTAATATGTACTCATTACAGTATATGCTGTTTAAAAGAGTGGTCACAATACTGCTAAAAATGTTACATAATCAAATCAACAGTTTTTGTTTAATATAAATTATTAATCTATGCATATCATTATTTAAACAAACAAACAAAACAAAAACATGTTCCCTCATCATATTTAAACAAAAACATGAACTTCCCTTCTTCTCTGATGACGTGCACTGACGTGAGGGCGGGGCAATAACCTGTCACTCAAATGAGGTCATAGCAATTAGCAAATGACAATGTCTCTAATAAATCCTTGGACAAAATGAAGTCCTGTCCTACTTTTTTCTTTTTCTTCAAGCCATTTCATTCAGAAATACATCACAATATAGAAGAAAAGGTTACAGTTTATGTTTCATGGTGACTTGAACTATTAGCACTTCACTTAGTTTACATATAAAAAGAATGCTGTATTCTCTGTATGCTTATAATGTATTATAAGCTCCTTAAGTGCATTCAGCAGAAACATGCTCATATGTTTCATTTGAAGATTAGCTCACATTAGATTGTCCATTTGCTTTTAAAAGCTGCAGATTAGCAGAACAGGCTTAAATGAAACTCCCAGGTCATTCTGAGGTCAAAGGAGCATTTAAGCATCTAAAGATGTCTGGATATTCACCTTGTTTCAGCACTTTGTCTCTCTTCCTCTGGTCCAGCTCTAAAGGTCCTGGAGGCCTCACTGACTCCACTGTAAATGGACTTGGCTTGCTGAACAGGTACCAGTATGTTCCACCAGCCCAAATCAGGACGCACACCAAAAATATCAGCAGCCACATCCTGAAGAACTGAGTCTGTACTCACTTTGCAACGTCTAAAATCTATCAACTCAAATCTTGAGTTTTCTTTAAAAACAAAGACTGTTGCACATATAGGAAAGCTACGGGAGTTTTAAGCTAGAGACGGAGAAAAAAGGAGAATGTGCATGACAGCGGAAAATCTCTGCAAGGACTCTTGATGAAAGTCTTCTTTTATACGCAAGCAAGGAGCAAAGGTCTCTGCAATGAGATTGCAGTGAAGCAACACTCAAGTATCATATATAATCGATCAAGATAAGGGTGGTAATATTTAATACAAGCTTTAGTCAGCATACAGATCCAAAGCAGTCCTCTTTATGTAAACATTTATGTTAGGGAGGTAAACAATGAATAATGAGTTACTTTGTTTCAGGCACAATGAACCCCAGAAAGTATTTGGAGACTTCAAGCATACTTAAAGTTTTTAAACAGTGTAACAAGTCTGTTACAAAAACAGTGGGTTATGTCTGTGAAGGTAAACAGCTGGGAAAAAAATCACATGTTTATTTTAGATCTGTGTGGCAGCAGCGTAATATACAGTTAATAAATCAATAAATCCACTGCTCTCTCGAAATCAAAATGACTGCGCCGTGGGTGGAAACTTACAGATTAAGGGGCGGTAATATTATAATGAGATCCCTTTGCCATGTCATGATATGTCACCTTTAAAATAAGAAGCTTGTTAAAGGGATAGCTTCCCCACCCTAATTTAATTCCAAACCTGGACGAGTTTCTTTGTTTGGTTGAGTACAAAAGAAGATACTATGAAGAATGTTGGTAACCAAAAAGTTGACGGTAGCCATTGACTTCCATTTTTTTCCCCATACTATAAAAGTCAATGGCTACCGTAAACTTTTTCTCATTTGTCTTCTTTTCTGTTCAACAGAAGAAAGAAACTCATACAGCTTTTCAACAACTTGAGGGTGAGCAAATCATGCCAATTAAAATTTTTGGGTGAACTAATCTTTAATTTTCAAAAGTACAGTGACACATTGGCATTGCCAAATGTTAGGATTATATCCACAGTTAAAGGTAGGGTATGTAATTTTTCAAAAACACTTTAGAAAACTGATTCGGGCCGAATAGCAAAACAAACTTGTAGCCAATCAGCAATAAGGGGCGTGTCTACTCGTGATGTGGAGGAGAGAGCTTTCAGTGCATGGGACAAACATTAGCCGAGCCAAGCGACAGAAAGATAGAGATGGCGGATAAAAAACAAAAGAGGAAAATGTCTGCGGAACGACAAGGCAAGATGTAGGACCCGTGTAAATATCGGATCAGCTTTCCAGCGCTGGAGAGAACTCAAGGAGCGGAGGCCTGCGATCGGACACCGAGGTTGCTTTGTTTCTTCTCGATAGGTGAGTAGCACCGTGTCTACAACAGCTAAAGTCTGTTTTTTCCCGTTTTTTTTCATCGCAATTCAATTGAAGATAATTCGATCTATGATTGTCACACAATAAAATAATCTACATCGTGAAATTCCTGAGAATGAGAGCTTTCTTGTGATATATGACTTGACTTTATTGTAAAAAATATATCAAATACACATTCTTCGTAAAAAAAGTTCGCAATGGCTAGGCGGAAAATCGTGTGTGGGACGAATACATTTCTAAGCTTAATTTTACTGCTTTATGAATATAAAAACCAAAAGAAATGGTATTCTTTGTAAAGAAGACACTCCAAGCTTTCAAATGAACCCATATATGGGCTGATACCATATAAGGAAGGCTATGCAAATGAAGCATAGACATTTTGTGACTTTGGACCCGTATCCGGGTCCGCATAGCTTAATTAATTAAGAACAAAAAGTCACATATATTGATCTGGTGAAACAGTGGCAAATTAGCACACCAACACTGAGATTATGTAACATTGCTGTTGCTCAGCTTCTCTATCTATGTCTATCCCTTTAAATACTAATAAAACATTATTCACGGATGAATCTTCAGGCAATCATGAAGCAACTCAGATCAGCAGAAGAGATTCAGTTACTTCATGAATGTAGAAAAAAATATTTTTTTATCAATCCCGCTGCATTGTTCATGTGGCATGATCAGCAAAATGGCTTTATCTTCACGACTCAGCTGCTTTGAATGTTCATCTTGTTAAATTTAGTGTTACAACAGTGTAGAAATTGATACTTCTGGTTATCATGACCAGAGAAGGTAATTAAGATAAGACTAAATTGTGAAAAACCATATTGTGCTTTGTATATGCGCTGTGTTTATCTTTATGACTTTATGACATACATCTCTTGATAAGGTTTTCCAGGTCCAATTAAAGTAAGTGCAAGTCAGCCTGCTTGGGTTTTACATTTATGCAACACACACACACACACAAAAATAATATTAGCATTGTTTACAAATTTGTGTTGTTATAAAATAAATTATAAACATCCAAGCTTTTCCCTTCTTTGCACATCTTATATATGTTAAAATAATTTTTAAAATATGTATTTGAAAGAGTATTTTTTAATGGTAAAACAATAGGCATCACATTACAAATCATTTAAAGTGGTAGCCCAGCTAACAGGGAATATTCTCAGAACATTCTGGCAAGGTTCTCTCAAAGTTATGAACAAATGTTCCCTTAATAACACATAATAAACATTATTCATGGAATGTTTTTCTTGAAATGTTTTAGCTGGATGTGTAACGTTTCTAATTGCTACTTTCTTTTGAATGTTCAGACGATGTTCAAAAGTAACATTCTCATAATGTAAATGGAATGTTTCCTTAATGTCTGAATAACTAAAAGTGTTTCAAACATTTAAAAAATGTATTGTTTTGAATGTTCAGAGAACATTCAGAAATAACGCTTTTATAGCTTAATAGGACTGTTAGTAAAATTCCCTTAAAACATATTTTTCTGAGCTGGAACAGCGATCACTTCCACTCTGAATGGAATTCTGGAAACCCAACGAACCCCATTCAAAAATAAACTAAAATTCCTTGCTGTTGGGTTTTGCTCACAGAGCTGCAGTTCATCCAAAACAGGAGCTGGAGAGACGGTGTGGCAGTGGTACAAAGTTGGAAAAGGAGCTTATAGGATGAAAAGCTCAATCCTGAGATGAGGATCAGAGAATGAGCTTAAGCTCTTGAAACACAGGAAGCAGCTGCTCTTCAGTGGGACAGAGAGGCCTGACACCCAAATCCCATTATCACAGCAGCCAATGACCTGCCGCTGATTCAATCTACCTGCAGAGCTTTACGCATACAGAGAATGCAAGATAACACCCTAGTTTTCATGGCCCAGGGCATCTTTTTTAAACACTTGCATCAGATGCAATTGGAAAGGACATGAAATATTCAGAACCATGTTGATTTGTGGTACACTTACACATTTAAAGGGACAGTTCACCCAAAAATTCAAGTCCTGTCATTATTTACTCACCCTCACGTGGTTCCAAATCTGTATGACTTTTGTTCTTCTGATTTGTCCATGCAATGAAAGACAAATCCAATTTTGGTTATGAACATACCAACAATGGCAATGGCATTGTCTAGGGACAAATTCTTTTGACTAAGACATTTTGAAGACTGCTGGTGACCAAAAAGTTTAGGTTACCATTGACTACCATTGTAATTTTTGTCCATATAATGGTAGTCAATGGCATTTGACAATGACAACATTTTGACCTGAGGGTGAATAAATGATGACAGAATTAAAATTTTGGGGTGAACTATCCCTTTAAAGTCAAATTAGGGTTTACTTTGATACCGTAACATTCAACCAGCAAGACATTTGGTTAAATTGCTAATGAGTTTATTTGAAAAAGTGACAGGTAACATCATATCACAAAAAGGTATTAAATGACAAGAGGACATCCTCTTATGCTTCTGGAACTGTATTGTATTTAAAGGGGTCATATGATGCGATTTCAATTTTTTCCTTTCTCTTTGGAGTGTTACAAGCTCTTTGTGCATAAAGAAGATCTGTAAAGTTGCAAAGACTAAAGTCTCAAATCCAAAGAGATATTCTTTATAAAAGTTCAGAGTCAGCCACGCCTACCTAAAACGGCTCTAACACGCCCCCACATGTCTACCTCACTATGTGGGAAGATTTGCATAACGCCGCCCAAATGTTCACGCAAAGAAAAAAGGCGTAACTTTTATTCTCGCTGTACTATTGTTGCCGCCGCAGCCATGTCGTGAAGACGCTGTGTGTTTCGTTGTGAAAGCGAAACTACTTTGTTTGGTCTTCCAAAAGAGGATGATATCCGCTTCGTCATGTCTGGAGCTGATCTGTGCTGGTCGCTGAGGGAATACATCAACTTTCACCGTGGACGAAGCAGAGTCCAGCCCGGGGTCCGTCACATGTGCTTGCCGCTCATTCGTCAGATCCGCCGGGCGCGCCGTTCTCGACCCCGCCACCTCAGCTCACTCTATCCCGGCCTCAGCACACGCTAAGCCGGGGCTTCCCCTCACGCTAGACCGCTGTGTTTTTCGTTGTGAAAGCGAAACTACTTTGTTTGGTTTGGTAGAGTAGCACTTGTTGTTTGTCACTTCTCCGATCACAAATGCAGACAGAGTTTTATGTTTACGTGGCGCGATGCAACGCAACGCGTAAAAAGACAGTATAAGTCATTATAATCAGTAATTATGTCCCCACTGGACGCAACAAATGCCTCGTTTGTAATGGGTTTTAATGTTTTTGTCTCGTCACTCCGGCCGGGAAACGGCATCAACAGTATGTGAGGGGCGTAACATTTCCGTCTTTAATGTTCTTTTTAGCAACATCATGACCCCCTTTAAAACGAAAAAAATAATCTGAGTTTCTAGTACAAATATTGATGTTTTATACAAAAGTAGTTATTAAACAGAGCACAGGGCCGTTGCTACGTAATAATGCAGCCCCCCTTCTCCTTGAATGGGTTCTTGTCTTCTGGGACGCCCTTGATCAGGGGGTCTTCGGCAGACTTCCCCTCAACAAACGCAATGATCTCTGGGGCTGTTGTTGATACCTTAGAAGAAGAATCAGGAAAATGGTTTAAGGATGTTTATTTCACTGACTGTCACCATCTTGCTCAGATTGAAAAACAAGTAAGTAACCCATCAGAGGATGTAGCTGCAATTGCTACAAAAGTTTTGGAGATCTTAAAGGGACAGTTCATCGAAAAATGAAAGTTCTGTCATCATTTAATCACCCTCATGTTATTCCAAAACTGTGTGACTTCTGCGTAACATGAAATAAGATATTTTAAAGAATGTTGGTCACCATACAGTTGCAGTACCCATTGACAAAAATTGCAATGGAAGTCAATGGGAACCAAAACTGTTTGTTTACCAACATTCTTTAAAATATCTTCCATTATGTCCCCTAAGCCATACAGATTTGGAACGACACAAGGGTGAGTAAATGATGACTGAATTTTCATTATTAGGTGTACTGTCCCTTTAATGGTTGGAGTTCCTACCGCAGTTCGGGGAGTGTTCACTTCCAGCTTCAGCTGTTCCAGCTCCATCTTCAGGATTTCTTTATCTGACATGTCCCGAGCCATCCTGCCTATTCGGAGGAAATAAATGAAAGATATAAGTGAAATTAAGCTCAACATTCAACACTAAGGCCTGGTTTCACAGACAGGGCTTAGACTAAGCCAGGATTAGGCCATAGTGCAATTACGACATTTAAGTAATTTTTTATAAACGTGCTTAGAAAAAAACATTACTGGTGTGCATCTTAAGACAAAACACAGGCAGTGATATATTTTAAGATGAGTCAGTGCAAGTTTCTTTCAGTTGAAACAGCTCAGACTTACATTTTAGTCTAGGACTAGGCTTAAGCCTTATCTGTGAAATCGGGGGTAAGTCTCATAAACCATGCTTGTATACTGTAAAAAGTGATCCATTGTTTCCTTAAAAAGATTTTTCACCCATAACATTTTATATGATTTAATCGATAAAAATTAGATGACAATTAGGTCAAATTTAAATGATGACTTAATGTATTTAGGTTGATTCAGTGATGTTATATTACATTTTTTACTTGACTGAAATCAATTTATTTAGATGATATTTTTAGGTTACCATTTTTCAATGGTTTGTTAAAAGCACTTAATGTAAAAAAAACTATTATAACATAAGAAAATGCTTATAAAAAAACAATATGTTCCAAATCAACTTAAAAAACAACATTTAGAAACTTACTATACATCAAAAAGTTGTACATTTATAGAGATGTTAAATTTGATTATTTGAGCATGTTTTACAAGAAAATACTATTTCAGTTTTTCTACTTCAAAATTTCACATTTAATTCAATGTTATATGCCATTTCTTTGTAATTACTTGTGAAATTTACCAGCAATTTTTGAGTGAAAATTGCTACACACTGAATGCTTTTCACTGTTGCATGAAAAAAGTGCAACTACTATCCTAGTGGTTTCAGTAAAATAATGATTTTTTTTACTGTCCTGTAAATGTAACATAAACAATAAAAAAATCCTCCATTTACCTGTTGAATGGGACTCGCAGCAGCCAGAGAAATGTCCTGATGACTCCTAGGAGATCATCAGCATGCAGGTTCTTCGTCCGCTCCTGTCCTCTCCGTCTGTGAGCAGACTGAGCTCTGATCTCTGGGTCTTCTCCTCTATTTCTGTTGTCCGGACCCCTCCTTCTCCTTGCTCTTTCTCAGGTGAAGGGATTGATCCTGGTGGGGATTGCGCTCTGATGTCATCGATCTCCCCTGATCTCATTAGGCAAATGAGAGCAAGTAGGACGGCCGTGCAGAGGAGTCACCTCTAAACAACATTGAAATACTGCAGGAAAGGGCAGCAGGACGGACCGAATGTGGAAAATGAAGAGTGCTGCCATTCTCCCTGAAATTGTGCATTGATGGAATTACATTCTAATTTGTAGCAAGGACTTATGCATGTAAACTTCAGCCTAGAAAGAGCTCAGTGTGATTCGTATAATCACAGGCAAGAAGCAGAACATTGGTTGAACATAATCGGACAGCAGAAGCAGTATATATCCATTTCCTACCGTACATGTCATAATCCTGGTGGGGATTGCGCTCTGATGTCATCGATCTCCCCTGATCTCATTAGGCAAATGAGAGCAAGTAGGACGGCCGTGCAGAGGAGTCACCTCTAAACAACATTGAAATACTGCAGGAAAGGGCAGCAGGACGGACCGACTGTGGAAAATGAAGAGTGCTGCCATTCTCCCTGAAATTGTGCATTGATGGAATTACATTCTAATTTGTAGCAAGGACTTATGCATGTAAACTTCAGCCTAGAAAGAGCTCAGTGTGATTCGTATAATCACAGGCAAGAAGCAGAACATTGGTTGAGCATAATCGGACAGCAGAAGCAGTATATATCCATTTCCTACCGTACATGTCATCCTGTGCTGCCTTGAATTCAATTTAATATCTTCAAATTTGTTTATACAGCACATTGTCTTAACATTTTTCATCAAAACAAACTTTTATTTATTTTGCTTTGGTACTATTTTCACATGGTCCTTTGCTGGTTTATGCTGGTCCTTTGCTGGTTTAAGATCAACCAGCAAAGGACCAGCTTAAACCAGCAAAGGACCAGCATAAACCAGCATCCCAGCGTCAAAACATACCTAACCAGCATATGCTGTTTTTTTCAACAGGACATACATTGGAATGTGTCCTATTTTATTTTTTCTGAGTAAAAAATAATGACTGATACATTTTTACCATGAATTACAGAAGTTAAAAAAAATCAGTTTTATAGTGAAGGAAGAAGCAAAGCAATCATTGTTTGTAAGCCGTATGCAACTTAATATGAACAAATATTGAGGGAGATGCATTGTAAATAAACCAGGCCATGCGTTTTCATGGTGACGTACTCTCTCTAACGCCAGTGCTGACAACTGACTCATGGTTTCAGAGACTGTCACACGCTAAAGCTTCAGTAATTGAGCTGAGACTGATCAAGAAGCAAGGAGGATCACAGGTCACCGATCTCCCAGAACCAGGACACCTCGCTTCTCATTAAAACCACCTTTCACCCGTGTCACAGTCCCCATACATTCTGACTCGCTGTTATTCAAAGACATCTAACTAGACTAAAGCATTATTTTGGTTCAGACTTTATCATTACTGAAAGAAATGATGTAGTATTATGTATTACATTATCTTTGTGTCGGTGTATTAAGAGTTAATCAGTTATTAATTACATATAATATGGATGGTTAGCATCATAAGGAAAATTTGAAGTCAGTATAAAAGTCAAAAGTACACTTCAGTTCGCACAGTTGTTGCATTTTATCTTTTAAACACTAGATAACACTAAAAGCATTTCCACTTATCTCAGTGTGCCAGTGAGTAATAATAATAATAATGCATTTTAAAAATATCCTAAAAAGGTGTTTTACCTGTATTTTTGCACTTCATTACGTTGTGTTTTAGAGTTAAGTCTTTATTTTTCTTTTCTTTCTTTTTTTACAGCGTAGTAATTATATTGTTTTTATTATGAATTAATTTTTTTAAGGTTTTTAGCGATATCATTTGATGTAACTTTTAAAAGCGATCATCTAGGACTAGGGGGATCACAATCACAGTAGTATGACTAAATAATTTTATTTATTTATTTATTTTATTATTTTAATTTTAAGTTGTTTTATAGTGATTTCTGGTTCAATTTTCAAATAAGTCATTTAAATTAATTAATTTGAATGCAGCGTAATGGGGAATTCCATGCATGCGCCCCCTGGAGGAATGTTCCGCTATGTTCCACATGAAAGAGTTGCTATCAAGTAGCAAGGCTTCACATTTGCCAACAAGTTTCCTGGGTTCTTGAAAGGCGCAGCGATAGACGATCGAGTCATTTCCGCGATTCGGTTCTTTTGAACAGTCCGTTTCAAAGAACCAATTCAAATAATTGATTCATGATTCTTACGTCACGACGTATGTACGTCCACGTTGCAGCCGTGCTCATGAAATTTTTACTTTGCCAATGTTACTGGAACTTTATTATGCTGGCATTGTACTTATTCAGTTATACTGTAGCGTGAGATGTGTCAAACCTACTCAGTATTCAAGACCTCTCTCATTTTTACGGAAAAAATACCTTTTGGCTTTATTAAATATTGTAAAGAAGATGAAAAGCGCTTTTATTTAATTATATTTGACCAAATTTCACATTCATTAATGCAAGTTTACAAAAAAAAAAAAGTATGGTTTTGTTGACAGAAATATAGACATATTAGAATCTTTGAATAAAAATGTATTTAAGCATTTATTTGATTTTTTTTATGTTTACATTATTACCCCTTTCTATAGTATTTTTTGTTGTTGTTGTTTTTTTGCATAAATTGTACAATGTTAAACACCTGCATTTTGAAAGCAAATGAAAATAAAAAAAAGTGTAACCTAAGTGTAATTTGTATTTATATTAAACTATACTAATATTCATTGACATCTACGACACCAGTTCGAAGACGAATCGCTCTACTGATTCGTTCAAAAGATTCGATTCAAAGCAGCGATTCATTCACGATCCCGAGGAAGGAGATGATACTTCCGCCATCCTGAGCCATGGCTGCTGCTACCCGCAAGAAAGCCCTGAGATTTTTCTCTCAGTTCGGAGCTTTTATCCTGACCCGGTTCGGCTTCTGGAACTGCTTCAGCATGTTGATGCTGTTCGCGGAGCGAGCGGACGTGAAACGGTACGTGAAAAACCCAACTAAGTGCTTGCAGTGACACAGTATAAACACATGTGACATGCAGCAGTTTAACAAAAGAACATTCACAATGAAAGCGTTCGTGTTTGAGCTGGAGTTGGCAGAGGTGTTAGTGCATCTCAGAGAGATGACAACCATAGTTTCCACTGCTTTTAACCCTATGAAGTTGGCCAAATCTTAAATGTAGCTCATATCCATTGACTTAAACAACTGTTTCTTGTCTTTTTAGGAAGCCAGACATCCAGGTGCCTTACCTGTACGTGGATTTAGGAGCTGCAGTGTTGTGTGCCAGTTTCATGTCCTTTGGGGTGAAGAGAAGATGGTTCTCTCTGGCCGCTGCCATTCATTTGGCCCTCAGCTCATACGTGTCCTATGTGGGTGGACAGGTCCATTATGCAGACTGGTTGAAGGTAAAAACATACAGTTTGGTTTCATCTGACCAAAAAGGAATCATTTTTGTATAACTTGTATTGTTGAAGTGTGATATCTGTGTTATTGATGACTGCAGAAGTCATTACTGTGCCTCATAAGTATTTTTGTAGGCCAGCCTGTTCACATTGCCCTGGTTGCCAATAGTAAACCCAATAGTATTTTTTTTGTATTGGCTTTTGAATTATTGCAGAATTATTCTTTTTTTAGTTCTTATGCACCAGGAATCATTTTTGTATAACTTGTATTGTTGAAGTGTGATATCTGTGTTATTGATGACTGCAGAAGTCATTACTGTGCCTCATAAGTATTTTTGTAGGCCAGCCTGTTCACATTGCCCTGGTTGCTTCGACAAAAACCCAATAGTATTTTTTTTTGTATTGGCTTTTGAATTATTGCAGAATTATTCTTTTTTTTAGTTCTTATGCACCATGATAAGCTTCACAAATGAACACAACTTTTATGAATTTTAAAGTCTAGATTCATCGTCAAAGTAGTAAAAAAATCTAAACGTAGGCTATAATTGAAATATACCAAGGTTGCATGACTTTAAAGGGGTCATGAGCTGCCTTTTTTAGTAATGTGATGTAGAATCGGTGGGCGGGGCTAAACTGGCAGTGATGTAGAAGCAGGAGTTGATGATCTTCTGCGGAGGCGGGGTTTAGCCATTCCACAAGCTGTCGTTTTGGCAGATTGGCTTCAATATAAGCTGCTTTTAGATTAATGAGAAAGTTTTGAGTTCTGAAACTTACAGGATGTTTTTATAGAACTATAACCTCTTATACGCATGTCAAAAGATCAAGGGAATTTTGATTTCTCAGTTTGTGAGCGCTTTAATTTCTCCCAAGTTTCTGAAACTCTTTCAGTCTGTATTTAAATGCAATTTCCCTGAAAGTTTGAGTTAGAATAGCTTGTACGATTATGAACACGACTTATGTCGTAGAATAAAACATGAATATATCTCGAGCTTGTGTTCACCACAGACCTCACAGAAACTCATTTTAAAAAACCCCATTGATTTCAGGACGATGGAACCAGAACCTAAAATGCTTGTGTCCAGGTTCTGGCCTACAAAAAAAACACGTAGTCCGACCTCAAACCACTCACACCATTGGTTAATGTGTTGTTGCTAACATGGAAATTAACCTGTGAATTTGAACAAATTACACATTTAGTTGTTGGTTTTCCTATGTCTCTGACTGCTCATGCAAATCCATTTTTCATATCACGTCCACCCAAGGGATTAGCCATCTGCAATATAGTGTTATATAACTGCCGTAATATCTCTCTTTGATCGTAATACAGCGGTCAAAGGAAGCTTTGTTGGAATGTCAATCATCCATTGCTTGTAATTCGATTCTGTTTTGAGGAGATGTAGACAATTTAGATTCATTCATGTGAATGTGAGACCAGCCACAGCGTTCACCTCCTATGTATGTATTCATAACCGCCGCAGGTGAGGATGTACTCCAGAGCCATGGCCATCATAGGAGGGTTTCTGGTGCTGGCCAGTGGAGCAGGAGAGGTTTACAGACAGAAACCTCGCACACGCTCACTGCAGTCCACCGGACAGGTCTTCCTGGGGATTTACTTGATATGTATGGTGAGTTTGTCCATTTCATCACTGCTAGTCTCACAGAAACAGATCAGACCGTGCTTTAGTTTGATCCCCACAGTTATGGAAAACCTAGGGATATTAGGGAATTTTAATATGGTGATTTGCAGGCCTGGAAAAGCTGTAGAAATAAATGAAACTTATCAGTTGTAAAATATGTTATAAGATAAAAGTTGCTCTTTTAAATACTATATGTATGCATTTAACTAAGAATATATAAAATCATTGACAAGGCTCACTAACTTCAATTAAAAGGTATAGTTCACCCAAAAATGAAAATTCTGTCATTAATTACTCACCCTCGTGTCGTTCCAAACCCGTAAGACCTTCGTTCATCTTCGGAACACAATTTAAGATATTTTTGATGAAATCTGAGGGCTCTCTGACCCTCCCATAGACGGCAAGGTAACTACCACATTCAAGGTCCAGAAAAGTACCAAGATGATCGACAAAGTAGTCCGTGTGACATCAGTGGTTCAACTGTAAACTTACGACGCTAATCGTCATCACGCCGGATCTGGGTCAGCGCCGGCGCCGCCACACGCTCGTGTCATGGTACTGTCGTGAACGCGCGTCCAAAGTGACACAGTAGAGACGAAAATGTGGAAATAAAGTCGTTATTTTTGTTTTTTTGTAAGTTTACAGTTGAACCACTGATGTCACACGGACTACTTTGTCGATCATCTTGGTACTTTTCTGGACCTTGAACGTGGTAGTTACCTTGCTGTCTATGGGAGGGTCAGAGAGCCCTCAGATTTCATCAAAAATATCTTAAATTGTGTTCTGAAGATGAACGAAGGTCTTCCGGGTTTGGAACAACACGAGGGCGAGTAATTAATGACAGAATTTTCATTTTTGGGTGAACTAACCTTTAAGCACTACTTTAAAGTACAGTAAATTAAGCATTATTAATTCAATTAAAACAAATTAAACCTTAACTAATAAACTTATTTTGTAATTTTAATATCTTAATAGCTGCAGCTTGATATATGAAATAATAAATACATTTGTTCAATTTTGATTGAGTGGTCACAAAATATATATATAAAAAAGGTTTGCATATGTGATTTGTTTTATCATATTTGATACATTAGGGTTTTATGATTTGTATAGTATGATGTAGTGAGAATATGGAGGGGAAAACACCATTCAGAGGCCCAAAGTGAGCAAAAATATGCAATTTGGTGCAGATGTTGATATTTACATGGCCAGAAAGTTAATGAAATTCTAATGCTTGCAACATTAATCAATGAGACCTTTATAACAGTATAGCAGACCACTTACATAAAAATGATTTAAACATCAGTTGCCACTCTATAATCTCTCAATAATGTCTAAGATGACATGTAATGCTTAGTTTTATGAGCAAAACATAACTGCAACGCAATAAAATGATTGAGAGATGAACAAATAAACATTCCTCAAAAACATGCTTTTTCTAAAAAATGATGTATAGATAATTAAGTAAACTTAAGTTGCTTCAGTCCAGTAACTGTTCATCTTGAAATATTAGTAACAATATAAAAGTTATCCTTACATTTATTTCAGTAAAGATTTCACAGCAAAAACACACGTGAAGCACGAGCTGAAGGTGGACGTTTGTACATATACTAAAGCCTTAGTTTAAAATCTAAGTTCTCTGAACAACTCCGCAAATAAATTGGTCAACAAGAAAATGATGGTTCAGAACACAATACTGCATTATTTACTAGAATCCACTTATGCATATTTAAAGTAACTGAATGAAATGACAGGCCGTCCCCAAAGGTCAGGTTGGTGCTCCCGGTATTGAATTGCAAAAGGTAAACAAACCTTCTCTGTGGCTTTTCATGCGTCATTCAGCTTGAGATCACTACCGAACACTTGAGTACTGACACACAAACTCTAATTTCCTTTAGCAGGTTTTCTACAATTAGCATGCGCAAGGGATGACAGAGTTCACAAACAAGTAATGCAACATTGTTCAGAGCAAGGAAAATATCCATATTGAATTCATATTGATTATGTAAGTTAGAGTGCTGCAGTGAAGGCCATATTTTTGTATAGGCCAACATGGTTCCCTCATCAAAAAACCCAATAGGAGTTTTCCACTGGCTTTTGGATTATTGCAAAAAAAAAGCTTTTACAAGCAAAATTTTACGATTCATGCACTTTTTGTTCTGCATGATAATCTTCAAAATGAACGACTTTCATTAATTTTGAAGCCTAAATAAAATTGCCAGAAAGCTATACCTGGTTATAAAGGAACTACACCAGTTACATGACTGCAACATCCCACCATTAAGCTTCTGACAACTTTTTCAGTCTGTATTAAAAAAATATATACATATTTTCTGTAAAAGTTTGAGTTTGAATAGTTTGCAAGAGCACAATAATATAAGACAGATTTAAACACTTGTTAGCAACTGCCTTTTTCAAGACATGTAAAAGCATTAAGAAAATCACAAGGGGCTATTACTGATGTATTTTATATTGTATAATAAAGCGTAAAAATATCTTGAGCTCGTGTTCATCACGGACTATTTCAGGCATTTAACAAACAAAAAAAACATTCAGGACAATGGAACCAGAAGTGCTGAAATGCTTGTTTTTAGGTTTTGACCTACATAAATGCATCTTATATTTTGATGAAGAATTACCATTCAAAATATAGGTTCAGTTTTGATTTCACGTTGAAGTGAATATGGATATGTACTACATGCACAAAAATGAAGACCTGTTGTGTAAAATAAGAGTGTATTGCTAACAGCTGCTGACTTTCTTCATTTGTGTGACTCCCAAGGCATAGGATCGTTTCCTTGTTTTTCCAGGTTAATTTTTTGCTTCTTGCGCTTGCGTTCTGCCATAACCAAGGCGCCCACCACAGTGACCATCACAGTTCCGGTAATGATCAGGACAGTGGCTGTTTCTGCGATACACAGCTGACTGTGCATCAAACCCAGAGATGCTCCAGCCACTAAGAGCGGAGAATGGCACGTGATATTCATGTAATCGTCTACGTGGAGATGCCTGACATGGAGTATCTTAGTGAAGACGCGATGAAGTTCACAGTCGCACGTCCAGGGGTTCTCCGACATCTGCAGATGCGTGCTGGGCGTCTGAAGGTTTAGGAACGTCTTGAACTTCAGGCTTCTCAGCTGGTTGGCTTCTAAGTTCAGAATGCTGAGGGTTTGTAAGGGGGCCAGAGCTTCCGTTTCAATCTTGGAGATATTGTTGTGGTTCAAGTAAAGCACTCCAAGGCTCTGTTGCATGGTGAGCAGGCCTCCTTGGAGGACTGTCAATTGATTCCATGCAAGGTTAAGGTGCCTTAGCATGGTAAGTCCACGAAATGCCCCAACTTCGATAACCTGAATGTGGTTGTGACTGAGATCTAACCTCTCGAGACTTTCTAGGTCCTCCAAAGAGTGGGACTCAAGGCGTTCCAGAGCATTGTGGGAAAGCTTGAGATCTTTAAGAGTGGTCAACCCTTGACAGAAATCTGGAGGAAGGACACGGAGCTCGTTGTAAGCCAGGTCCAACTTTTCCAGGAAGGTCAGAGAGGAAAGAGCCTGGAACGGAAACATGGCACGTTCAACTAATGATCCTGTAAAGCTGCAATTTAAAGACCAAAGATAGAAGTAGAGGAATACATTTTGAATGGATAATTCACTTAATTCTATAATCGTTCAACACCCTCATAATGTTCCAAACTTGTGGGAGTTGCTTTCTTTTGTGGAACACATTAGATATTCTGAAGATGTTTCAAATGTTTTTGTCCATAAAATGAGGGTGCAATACAACATTAGACACTTTCATTGAGTGATCAAAAACACTTGATATGCATTTTTCAAAATGTATTCTTTTGTAGTCCACAGAAGAACCAGAGAATAACCATTTTGGGTTTCATTTTTTTTCTTAGTGTTTCCAATAGGAAGAACTTTTTGCAGAATGGAAAGATTCCACTCTTATAAATAAAAGGTTATTTATTTGGCATCAATGGCACCATGCAGAACCTTAAACATCCACTGGAAAAAAAGTTCTTTATTGGGCATCTATACAGTGCGTGCCTAATTACTATGCAAGTTGATATTCTGATCATTTTATTTCCAAGCACATTCGACCAATTCCAAACCATATCAATCTAAATAACTACTATTCATTTAATCTTTTATAAATGATATATACTTGTCTGTGAATGATGGAAATGAAAAAAGCCTTATATTCAGGTGTGCATAATTATTAAGCAGGTTTTCTTTTACAGATAAAATGAGCCAAAACGAGATTTAACTCAAACTGAAAAGTCAAAAATTATTAAATGGCCATGAGAGGGATGCGATACTAGAAATTGCAAAGTTAAGGCATGACCATAGTAGAGCGAAATACTCATTGGGTCAGCAAGGTTAGAAAAAAACTGGTGGAGAAGAAAAGACACATTAACTGCAAAAGAATTAGGTGTGAAACATCTCTTTTTGGCTCATTTTATCTGTAAAAGAAAACCTGCTTACTAATTATGCACACCTGACTATAAGGTGTTTTTCACTTCCATCCTTCATAGACAATTATATATAATTTGTAAATGATTAAAGACAAAATTAATAGTAGTTATTTAGATTGATGTGCTTCAATAAAATGATCAGAATATCAACTTGCATAGTAATTATGCACACACTGTAGTTCCATGAAGAACCTTTAACATCAATGGAACCTTTCTACTCACTCTTTAGTAAAACAAATGGTTCTTTTTAGAACTGTTCATTAGAAATTTCTTTAGGGAACCCAAAATGGTTCTTTTATGGCATCACAGAAAAAAAACAACCCTTTTAGAACCTTAATTTTAAAAAGTGTATAGTGGGAAGTCTCTTTCGATTATCAAAAATATTTTTTAATAAAAAAAAAAAAGGTTCTTATAATAGCTGTTGACAAAGGTTCGAGGAACCAAACATTTTCATTCTATGGTATTGTTGTGAAAACCCCATATTGGAGAAACCCCACCTTTCTTTTTAAGTGTAGAAGAACCATTTTGGGTTCCCCAAAAACCTTTCAGTAACCAGTAATCTCAAGAACCATTTTCCACTATACATAAACTTTTGTGCAACT